TCAGTTAGTCAGTTAGTCAGTTAGTCGGTTAGTTAGTTAGTTAGTTAGTTAGTCAGTTAGTCAGGTAGTCAGTTAGTCAGTTAGTCAGTTAGTTAGTTAGTTAGCTAGCTAGTTGGTTAGTTAGTTAGTTAGTAGTTAGTTAGTTAGTTAGTTAGTTAGTTAGTTAGTTAGTTAGTTAGTTGGTTAGTTAGTTAGTTAGTTAGCTAGTTAGTTAGTGAGTGAGTTAGTTAGTTAGTTAATAATAACAGCAGCAGCAATGCTAACGAAAATGTCGTCGAGATCTAAGGTCGAAAGCCACAAAACGCCGAGCAGTGGCAGTGAAATGTAGCTATAGCCTTACAGGTACCTCCAAATATCCAGATCCCAAACACCCCAAACGCTCAATACGGTTACATCAACCTCAAAGCTTTGGAACCCAACACGTCAAGAATCCCCTAGACCTCCAAATCTCTACATGGAGCATCATGGAATTCAGGCAATAAGTAAGCGTAGAAGTACCTCCTTATCTGGGGTGATAGCTACTTATAAGTATAGCTACCTTATCTATAACCCTTAGTTACTAAAGCCACGATCCTTTAAGTACCCTAAATCCCCTTCATAGAACCCTTATAGATTAAGGAACCCGTTTAGGAACCCTCAGGAACCCTAGCTACTAAGTCCCATGATAAACGGTATACCTCTCACCTCCTAACCCCTCGACCTCCCAGGCCCTAAACCTCTCTTCCTCTACCTGTGGCACCCAAAACCGACCTTCCTAAGGACATGTTTATATATATATATATGTGCCAACAAAGCCTTCTATGATCCACAGAGCCTTGGTTCAAAATCAAACGTTCGAAATGACTTTCCCATGTACACACTCCAAGGACGACTATAAACAGCGCGGTGCGACTTAGACCAAATCATGTGGCAGCACAACCGCTCAAACTCAAGGAAACCTCGCGCACGGTATTGAATCGCGTTGAAACTAAACATTATATGGGAAACCAGATACGCTCCTGCTTCGGGTGTTACGATGTCTTTCTTGGCTTACGACGGCTTTGTGTAGGTTTCGCGATCACAGTGTACGTAGAAACAATTGGGATGATAAATATCTGTGTTGGGTCTTCTGCTTGCAGAAGCGTGTTTTGGAACTTGTGGTTGTTCACGCGCGTGATCCCAGCTCGCGCTACGGTACGAAACCTTTGCGGAATCGCACCTCTTTGACGAAGACACCGGCCCCACAGGCGGACATATGCGGCCGTGATCCGAAAGGGGACTTCTTCGCTACAAAGATTCGTCGCGGCGACATCACACACCAGATCTGCTGATCTAGATGCCCTAATGATGCTGCCTTCAGTCTTTTGATGGCTTGCCGCAAGCTTTTCCTTCTAAACACGATACGCTTCGATCCTTCAACTGTACCCTTCATTGTACCGATTAGCTTGTTTGTCAGGCCTGTGGATTTTTGTCATCCCAGCCATCACACATGCTTACTCGCAGGGCTTTGCTTCACGGCTTTCAGCAGCTCATCAATCCTACTCCCGACAGCATCCCGACTACCGAAAGTTACAACAATACAGGGGCTGCCTAACAGATGCCGCGTGTCTGGCCGAACTGACATGTCGCGTTGTCTTCCGCAAAAACAACATGTCGCACATGCGCGCGTTCCTGCAGCATTGCAGCGACCGCGCGAGTCCAGCGGTATAAAAAGATGCCATAGCCATGCGGTTGCCTGTCATCTTCCATGGACCACAGCTGTCTCGACCAAACGAGTAGCCAAACTTGCTTACGACATTTTCTGCAGGCTCATCCTTGTCGATCAGCTCTTCTCGCAACGGTTTCGACCTATTCTTCGCGCTCTTGTGGGTCAGGATCACAAAGATGAAGCTGGCGAGTGTAACAGCTCCGCCGCACAGTTCTAACA